GCCAAATCATTTTCAAGTCTTCTTTGAGATAGCGTGGTTCCTTTTGGTTGCACAACCTAGATGGCAACTAATAAAATGCGAACTTGAGGCTTCCACAGCAGTCCACAAACCAATAAGAGATGTCATGGTCCACCATTATGTCCTAGACCATCGATGGTTGTTGGCCCTATCTATGGTTTCAGCAATGTTAATCCAAAAAGAAATTTGCCATATTGCACGTCAACACGATCGCATTAGACGGACAGATTTATGCAGCGGCAGTTTGGCTCCACTTCCTCTTTGGGGACCCAGTTTTTGTGCTGAGCATCCGGACTGCACACAGTCCAAAGGGACCTCCAGTGCCTTTCATGTCACTGAAGCTCCTGTGTTTTCCATTTTTAACAGTGACATTTCCTCTGAGTCTGTGATTTCACAGAGCAGCCTGGAGATCTAAAGGGAAGAGAGGGGAGGTGAGGAACAGAGAGTCATACTGACCGGCTTCAAATGGTTCCGTAAAATAAACCGCAGTGATCTTCCCCTCATTATGTAAAGGGATGCTTGTATGTTATGAGCAGACTATTTTTTAACACAATTGCAATGTTGCGCTGCAGTAACTCACTGTATAAGGAGATCAAAATGACTGACTGAATGGATCCAAGTCAGTGAGGGGCATTGGAATGAGTCAGATGTGAGAAGGATGTTAGACAGGAGTCCACACGTGTTGGGCGGTGAACCAGTGCTAAACCGAGAGACAGACAAGAATGAACATCGCTGTGCATCGAAGAATACGATTACCCAGACTTCAAACTCTTCCCGCCCACCTCCCTAAGCACACTCATAACATACACCAACAGCAGCAACAAAACAGATGTTGTTTTTTCTTCGGCCAGCGAGGCAGCACGGAGCGCTTCATCCAAATACAAGCATGAGATCAAAGACAAAACGCCGCCAGGAATTCACAGAGTCCGTCATGTGACATTTCGAACCGCATAAATGCCAAATGCATGCTTTGCCAGTCTGAGGTGATATTGTCTTGGAACCTCGGAGACTCGATATTTGATTTGAAGCATCATCCAGATTGGCTCTGGTCATACAAGCGTGTAATAATCCTCAGCGACATTGTGATCTGCCCATTTTTAAATTGGCACGAGAACACGAGGAAGACAACGCTAAACTAAGGCATTAGGCTTGACTGTTTAGAATCATAATGAGGGAGAGGACAGGGGCAATTAAAATTTTTCGAAGGCATTTTGTCTGATGACACAAGAAGCTTGCCGTTTTCTTCAGATATTTCTTAATCCCAACATATTCACTTTAGGGACCAGAAATAGTGTCCGAATGCATTTTGTCAATGCAAATCAATGCTAATTGCAAAAAAAATAACGTGTTTGATCGGTCTTAAAGGCATGTGCATGTCCTCTCTGGTCACATCGTTTGCTCATTAAAAGTACTTTGTAGTCTCTCTGCTGAACATCTAACATCTGCATCTGCATCTGCATCGTATCGAGGTTCACTAGATTCAGCAGATGCTGCGGCTTCACTGTGGGGTACCACGGATTTCCCTGATGTGGGAGCTAAACAGTGTAATCAAATCTTGCACATGTACTCTATATTCTAGACCTAACTGGGTAAAGTTTGTGTCTTGGATTTTATAGTAATATGTTAACTTTTTATTGTATTTATATCTCAAAAGTGCTCTTTTACACTATTTGATTTGGCTCCATTTAAACGGATGTTACAACGAATTGGGAACTGAGTTTATAAAAAAACGTACATATACGAACCTGATGATGTTGCTTTGGGATGACGTCAAACTAGACTACTGTTTGACAGACTCGCTCCTCCAACTCGGCCCATTTATTTCAGAACCGAATGCAAAAATCCAGCCACAGGTGAACGACCTGTACAAATCTTGCTGGCGTAAAAGCTATATGTTTATGAATTTTGTACAATATAATGTTATAGAACTGGTTATAAAACAGTGACAATGTAATGGTGGTGCCTTTATATCTAAACCAAACTAATGCTGTCTGCTGTAAAACCAAAACGATGTGCTGAAATATGCTACTAAGAGCTGTGGAGCTGAGCAGAAAAGAAATTTAGCTGATAATTCTTCTGATTTGGTCACTTTGAATGACTCCTTTAACATTACACATGGTCTTTTTGATTGATTGTTAATATACAAATTTAAGTAGGGATTTAAGCAACAATCTTTTTTAATGCAACCTGATGTGACGCATCAAACGTACAAAAACAAATAACTTTAAATTGCTCTAACATGTCTCTTGGTGCCAATATAGACCCCATTAGCCTAATGGGGCCACTCTGATTAAAATATTGAATAGAGAGCCTATCATCTTGCTGTAGCAAGAGATGTTTATCTTCCCTCAACTCCACTGACATGTAACCTAATTTTGCAAGCTGTGGACTACATGGAGGTTAAATCAGTCCTCATTTGCATGAAAGTCTCTATTGTGCAGTTTTTTCAACTCCTATCTGCATTGTCTGCCTTTGTGACTTCTCAGAGTGGGTGGATGTAAGTGTGATGGAGCTGGAAGCCACAGTGACTGCCAGAGGCAAAGACAGGCAGGACAGAGTCCATCTCCTGAAATAAATATCACTGAATATTATAATTGCAGAACAACTAACTGCTCTAACTGGCCCTCAACAAGTTAAAATTCGTAAATCAGACAGCACACTCGATCCCCAGACAAGTATTGCCCCTCTGAGCACTTCAAAGTGTCCAAAGTATTTCTCAAAAATCTCCCCCAAGCAACTTACAAGGACACCTAGAGGCCCACTAACTGCTACAGAGAGCTGCCCTAATTGGCAGTTGGCAGCTATCAATCAGCCCTGAGGTTTATGAATAGCTTTGCTATTGATAGAAATTCTGTTTAAGGAGCAGACTCGTGTGCCCTCTTCATTGCGCATGCAAACATTAAAGCTGCGTCTGAAAATGTAGGGCAGGACAAAAAACAAAAACAGAGTTGGATGCAGACAAACAGAAACTCCTCAAAGCAGAGATGAGGGTCCACGGCTCAGTGAGGCGGCACATGGACAGAGTGGAGTTTTGAGCTAGATGCTGATGTTAACATGTGAAAATGGCCATAAAGACAATGCTGATACAATACTGTTAATGTTTACCCATGGATGCACTATACCGCACTGAAAGATGACACCCACTCACCCGTAACTGCCCAAAAGGTTGCCTATCAACATTGGATTGACAACATGCAAATAGCAATGGCTTTTCATTTTAATTAGCATTAAAGCATTTGTTTTGTTGGTATTTGGTCATAAATCAAAGCGTTGAACAATTGAAGTTCCCTTTCTAATTTCAAATGTCAACCAACCAACAGATTAATATTACCACCCAGAGAGCCACGCCAACACGTGGCTAAAGGTTGCTGAGGAAGATCCTGTGAAATGAGGGAAACATCATGAGTAAACCTTGTGACGAGGTTCTCTGAAAGCGGATGCATCATTTTGTAACAGAAGTTTACGCTGCACGTTAGGGGACAAATGGCTGGTGAATGTGGCCAAAACTTTTGGCAAACAATCCCCCGAAGGGACCATGGATTCCCTTTTGTTCTTCAATTAATCAAAGTGATACTGTGGAGGCACATCGAGGGGAGCGCAGAGATGATTTCCACCCGCTGCCACAGCACGGAGGCTGGAAGTGTTAACGAGGAATGTCTGGAGTGCACAGGGTGATACCACTCTGAAGTGTGTGGGGAGCCCCCCAAATCCCTTTGTGGGATGGAGATCATAGCGAGATGGAAATCTAGATAGAAATCCATGCAAGCACATGAAAACGACAAATACTGTAGAAAGCCTCCCCCTCACAACGAGTCGGTTTAAATGATCTTGCTTGACATGACCACTGGAGCACGAGAGGATTTCAACCTGAGACATGTGCACAAACACCAGCCGCTGCGGGTCCCTTCTGTGACTCGGCGAGCTGCGAGCGAGGGGCTCCCTGAGAGCGCTGAATTTGTGTATCTGAGAGGAGGAGGTTGAGGAGACAGTAGCTCTCGCGACAGGCCTTTACAATTAATAAACTTCTGACAGGTTTCCTGCTCGTATGGATCCAATTCTCCCTGTGCACGCGTGCAAAGCCGCCAGCTTCCCTAATCGCTCTCCTCGCTCATGTTTTCAATTATTAGGAGGCGCCGGAGGTATCACAGCGCACATATATGTTTGTTTGTGTGTGTTAAGGGCAAGGTCGGAAAATAGAGAGCAGCTGTCACCACAAACTAAACTAGACTATAGTGTTTGCTTGTTCACCCGTTTACACTCACTCTCTCACCCTGTTTGTGTGGCTCCTTTCTAACCACCAGGGTGGAGGGAGCAGAGGCGTTGGAGTCATCAGGCATGCAGCGCACCTCTCCGTTGGCCCTCGGGGTGCCCTGCGAGGCACACTTGCTCTTTTCTGACCTATCGCACGAGTAAATGTTAAATGAGGGGGAGCAGCCGGTGCTTCTCATTGACATTCCTGCATGTTTGAATGGCCATTCGGCAAGAAAAAAAAAAGACTGCACCCATGGGTGCTGTCCTATAACAAGGGATGAGTGTGCCATTCCTGGCAGGCGAGTCAGATGTCGCCCCCCGTTGCCAAAGTCCCTCACAGCCAAAATGTAACACATGACTGGAAAATAACCCAAAATGATAATCTGTTATTCTGTGTGTGAGCCAGTGGAAAGATAGCAGCCTGCAGGGATGGGAGCTCCTTTTGATGTCCAGACACTCAGTAATGGTATTATTATTTAACAAGCAAAGGCCATATAAACACTGCACATTATCCAACTTATTTGTCTTGAGCTTTCCAATAGGTCCCAAATGTGTTCAGTATTTAACTTCCCATATACCCCCTACATCGATCCAACAACTACTGACTTAAGGTGTGAACTGATTTGCACTGTGCTGCTTTTAAGGCTCTAAATGAGCCTGGACATAGTTTTACATGGCATGATGTTTCTCCACAACCGAATGGACGCGGAGCGAATGCATAGATCACCCACCTATAGTCGACACCACAGTTCCAACAAAATAAAAAGCCCCAGTAAAATCCCATCGTGGCCTCAGGGCATCGGCCCGGATCCCGGCGGCGATGGCGGCCTCGTACTCCCGCAGGAAGGAGTTGAGGTCCCGCAGGCTGATGTTGAAGGTCTCGCTGAAGTTGAGGAGCGTCCCGTTCCAGCGGCCGTGAGCCCGCAGCTCCGACGGCCTCTCGATGGCCGAGAAGACCGCGGCGCCACACAGCAAGTACAGCACGATGAGGGCGGCGAGCAGCGCGAAGCGGCCGTTGTCCTCGTTGAGGTGCAGGGAGCGGCAGCCTTGCAGTCGCTGGCCAGGCATCATCCGAATTTCAGCACCACGCGCGCGTCGGACAGCGACAAGCTCCACATCGGAGACGGCATTCACTCGTCCGCGGGTTTCCTCTGGAAGTCACCGCCTGGCACCCTCTCTGCACTTCTCCTGTCTGCAACATCTCCCCCACTCAGCCCGTCACGTTGTCCCATTGTAGTTGCGAAGTGGTTTAAATTGCCGCTGAGAGAGTGAGAAAAAACGCCCCGCCTGGGGATGGAAGTGTGGAGAACCACGAAAGAGTTCTTGGGAAAAGCTGCATTGAGTCATGATGGGTACATTCTCTCCTACAGTTGTGGCAATGCAGTTGACGTGGAAGTAGACTGCAGCTGAACGCTTGTGTGTGCATGCAGCACTAGAGTAGTATCATCTGGGTCCGGCTGCACCAAATTGGTCTTACACGAGGAAGAAACAAAAGAAAAGACACAATGACGCTCGAAATTCTGCAGGTTCGAGCGGATTCGCGTCCCGAGGCAAAAGCCCGCTCTTAAATAAAGTCATCCATCATCCGGCTTGCTGGCGCTGGAGAAGTGCGGAGCTGCTTGAGCTTTCATGTGGAGCCTTTACAGGCACGTTGCATGCGTATATGCACCAATGCATATGTCAAAATCTCCACTCTCCGCTACCAATCTGGGACTATAGAATCCCGCCGCAGCAGAAGAAGGACAGCAGATTTGTGGCGTGCAGGTTGCGCCGTCGGCTAAATGAGTGTCCTCGTGCGCCCTTATTGAGTGAAAGCATTTACATTTTCACTCCAGTGCAGCGGTGGTAACTCGTTCCATGCGCACTGAGGACGCTCCGCTCATTCAACTCTTTCTCACTTTCCTCAACGCGGCAAATGGTTTAGAAAGAAAGGTGCACTCTTGACCTAAGCACCATGAAAAGTTTATAAAAGCTTCAGCAGTCCCAAGGAGAGTGTACAAATGTGAAAAACACCACACTTTCCAAGAAAAATAAATTCCACTTTCACAATTGGTATATTTCAAATTGTTAAATTAAACGTACTCCTCATGCAGCAGAAAGATACCTCTTGGAAATATATTTATGATTGATTATCAATAAACTGTAGATTCATACGTGCAAGAAATCATATAAGCTTGCAGGTGGAGCTACTTAAATGCATTGTTTTGCGTGTTTATAGGTGATTTAATAAGGCTTGGGCCCAGGAAGCCACAATGATTAGATATTTTAAAATTATATCAATCTGCCAATTGATTTTCATTCATTCAGCCATGATAAACGCACTGATACATTTTTCTCCAATCCCACTTTACAGTTCCTTTTGCTGCATCTTGCTGTCTATCTTAAAAAAAAAAGAATACTCAAGAAAAGTAACATGATTTCATTTCCAATAGCTACAATAGCAATATAGAGTTGAATCCTATGCATTTATGTGTGTGCCTGTATGATACTCGAGATGCATTAAGAAAACAGTTGGAGACAGACATGATCTCACTGTGCTGTCATCGCTTGAACTAAAGGAATAACGACCCGCTCTGCATGCTTTTAAGAACCAACAGAGGTCTACAGAGGAAGATGGAGAAATGCAATGCACTGACTGACTGAAAACACAAAATAGATACATCTCATTTCTGCTGCACATTAACAACAGCAACCGTTAAGACTTGCTCAATTAAAGGCGATAGAGCTGCTTGTCCATAAAAATACCTTTTAAAACGACATGTTATTCAACTAATGAACAGTGATTCAATAATCTGTGACGGTAGAATGCTGTCAGAGTGATTATATGATTCCAAACTTCAAACCTCTTCCTACTCCACAAATGCCTGAACCAATAGTGGGTCTTATGAATATAATATACACTATGATTGTGGTTTGAATCCGCATTGCAGAGACAGGCAATAAATATAATTTTTCCAATGAGAAGGCAGTAAATGGGCTTCACAAAGCAGTTGTATTGATTACGCTGGGGTTATTGTCTTGGGGTTATTGGCTGGAAAACGACAAGTCAGGCATGCTCAGCACAGTCCTCTCCGCTAAAGCTGAGATGTGAGAAAGCACGGAACGATGATGTAAAAGGAGAAAACACCAATGAAGAGTTATGTCCGAGGACGCCTGAATGCCAGAGACGTGATACATGAGCGGAATTCAACCAGATGCAACAAACGCAGCATCAGTGATGATGATGAGCAGCAAAATGAGGGAAACACTGATCAGTGGAAAATGAAGCGATGTGTGTTCTGCCGTTTTCTGTCATCTATGTTTCAGGGTGCGGGGGAGGAGGGCAGGAAACACGGCGCCTGCTTCAGATCTACGCCTGATACTTGCATAGCAGGAGCTAATAGAGTCTCCAGTCCACCTGACAGTGGAAGGACACCAGCAAAGCTGAAGCAAAAAACTAACCCTGGGGGTGTTTGTTTTAGGGAACGATGATATCAACCACTGAGGTGCTAAACATTTTTAAACAGCAGTATCACAGTTGGATTGATTTGGTAGCTGTGTTTGAACCTTGCCTTTGTTGCATTTATTTGCAGTAAATACACACCTTGCACTATAACGCAAATTAAAAAACATGTTCATGTATATCCAGGTTTAAATACTCATACCATCCATAATTTGGAGGATGTTTAGGTATTGAATCAATTAACGAACCCAAAACTGCTCAGAACTGCTGTTCAATGTTGTGAAATATGGAATTTTTGATACTAAAGTAAAAACGACCATTTGACTTTTGCAGTATCACAAACATTTCGGCCAAAAAAGATCATTTCTGGATGATGGTTTGTGGATCGTTTAACAGCAAAACAAGTAGGACGATTGACAATGACGGCCAAGTGACAGGAGACACAGACAGCTTAAATACACTAGGGAGGTGCAGGTGATTGGACACAGGTGGAAACAATCAGACAATCACAGACGATGACTGGACAAGGCAGGAAGTGAAGTTACCCAGGGAGACAAGAAGCAGAAAACTACAAAATAAGACAGGAAGTGAACCACACCGTGACATCCTAATGTTATTTAACATTTGCTGTCATTATATATAGCTACTGGCATACTAGACTGAGTGTATTGTCGTTGCTCATGAGTTAATCTTCTTAATTGTAACATTCTAATGAGGCTATATAGTTTAAGGTTAAACCACTGAACATTAAAATAAAAAACATGTCGTATTCCCCTTTGAGCCGCAGTTGCAGTGAGTGTTAAATGGAGAACATCACTGCAGCCCAACCTTGAAACCTTAACCGGCCTGTTACAGTGGAGTTAAAGGACGTTTGGACATGATAGAGGGAGACAATCCTCGCTCCGGCCTCCTGCTGTGAATAAAGATGAGGAGACCGGAGAGGACACACATCCGCTTACAGTGGGAAATGAAACGGCCAGGTGAAGCGAAAGAGGGCTGATCCGAAAGATTGAGAACATCGTGTGAAATCAATCCTTTCGTCAGTTTGAAAAAGCACTTTGTAAACAGCTTTTTGACGGTTAAATGGGACCTTAGGTTCTTGTGCATGACGGTGAATAGTGAATTGAGAGTTGAACACGATAGTGTTGCAAGGAGTAAAGGGGGCATTGATTTACATCTGGCTTGAAAAGGCCAATTAAGCCAACGCAGGCCTCCGAGATAACGGAGGATCCCTTTTGAAAACGTGTTGTGAAAAGGTTTAGAGCGAGTGACTAAATCCGAATGTCCCCCATAAACCCATGTTCATCATTCATGTCACCTGGTAAGTGGTTGTGTGAGAGTCTGAAAGGGCTTGACGTTGTGTAAATACGAACAGCCCTTTGCTGCAACACATCACGCCACCTTGACAACGTCAAGATGTATGTTAATGTGATGTACAGTTGAGGGTATTTTCGACCTGATTTGAACGTCCTCACAAGATCAGGGGTCATTTGGCCATCAACGCAACGCCTGGACACTGTGCCAGAGGTCAGCGCTGTTCTCACCATACATGCTGAGATGCGGTGGTTCTTTAGTAATTCTGCAGCTTTACAAGTAAAACTTTCTCTGTTAATTAGAAGTTTAGATTCATCTTTCTAACAAAAAACGTTGTGTATAAAAAAAGCACTATGAATCAGAATCTAAGCTGCACATGGCTTTACTCTTCCATTTCAAATCCCAGGTTTGCTTTTTAAATAACACCCTGTTGCAATCTCTGACATGAGCACTGGGAAGAGTGCAATCCACTTTTTGGGTTGCATTTGTGATTTTGTGTGTTCGTGCATTTGCTTTGAATGAAAACCATTTCCCCGCTCTTACCGCCGAGGAGGTTTGGCCATCAAGAATCCAATTAGATTTACAGTCCAACAAAAATAGTCCCAAAACATCCTGGCAGGTACATTATCTAGAGTAGGTTTATTCGGTTGTCGAACCTGCATTTTATTTTCCACAAAAACAGAGTGAGTAATAGAGGTGAACTCTTTCCAACAATATGGGATTCTCCAAAATACGTCTTCCTCACTTCCCACTCTTATTTCTGAAAATGTTACGGTTGTGACTCATCCAAGTGTTGTTGTCTTAAGATGAATCACAATAAAGGTCTTGTGTTCTATCTGTACACCTTTTTTACTGCGGTAGATATATTTTATTGATAATGATACTATTCTTCAACACACTTTCTACCTTAATGCAACACAATGATTTCATTCTGCAGCGTGAAACTCTCAACATGTCCACTAACTCGCGGCCTTTTGAGAGGATCCTCTAGTTTAAAATGTATTACTCTCGATGAAAAGAGTTCACGGCAAAACCCGGAGGAGGCCCACATAAGAGAGCGTAAGAGTATAAGAGTTTAGAGCGCCTATTGTACCTTTCAAATCCACACACTTTTTCAATAGCTTGCAGATCTCAAGGGCAGCCAGAGGAGTGGAACTAAAAACTACAAATCATAACTATCCGGCAAGCCAAACAGTACAGAGAGGAGGGAAGTAGACTTTAAAGTGTCCCAGGGATCGCTGGCAGTGTGTCGGCAGCAGTTCTTACACTGTCGCACTCTTATCAAACACCACTTCAGAATGTAAAGCTGATATTCAGGGAATGATGGCTGCAGTGGTTGCGCCTGCTTTGGATGCTTATCTCCCTGAAACACGCTCTTGCTGTAACTACTGTCAGCTCTGCTGTAGGGCCGCACACCCTCGACTGTTAATATGAAACACACGAAGCGCCGTGCTTAACTTGTGTCTTTTCGACTCACGTTAAACAAATTATAACAAGTGAACGGCTGCCAATGCCATAAAACAAGTGCATTGTTTCTTTTGGTCTTTTTTAATTGTCGCTATTCTCCAAAGGACACAACACACAGAAAAAAGCGACAGTAGTGTAGCGAGGGGTCTGTTAATGACTGTTTATAGGCTGATTGGACAGCTTCACGTCCCAGCGGGCCGTTCCTCTGCTTGCTGTAGATCCCTCCTAACTGTGGATGTCACAGCCCAGCAGTTTTCTCCAAGTAAAGATGATAATGCCTTACCCACAACAGAAGGCAAAAAAAGAATAATCAATTGCTCCCCGGATAATTTATAGTCCTCTTCCTCTTAAACCTAAATCCCTTTTGGTCCTTTGAGACTTTGAGCTGCACAGTAAAGAAACTCTGACTCTCAGCGATTCATCCATCAAGGTGACAGGTGCCTATAGGTTCTCCCTGTCCCTCTCTGCAGGCTCCGTCTCCGTCGGACCATTCCTCCAACTTCGTCGTCCTAGATGTGCGGCCAAGATACCGTTGCAGTGGGATGCACATGACACACGTCATGTTACATGCTGGCTTATGAAAACACATACTGTAACACGTTTGTTTTGCATTGGAGACATTTTAATCAACAGGAATGAA